GATGGGTTCAATGGGCCTGATGCTCCCGAATTCTTGATGGGAAATCTCTACCGGGCAGTGTTCAATGAGCTTCAGGGTTTGTTCTGGGAGATTGATGATAGTGAGGAGGCTGCTAATTCAAACCCTTCCAATGTTGTTTCAGAGAGTACGGTCAATGTGGATGAAACGAATGCTGACCCATCTACGAGAGCCTCTGCTCAAGCGGTTGAAACTAATGGTAATGTTTCACTAGCGGGAAATGAAGCGGACCAACCAGCAGCTGATCGAGGATCGGCTAAGAGGGTTACATTTCAATCCGAGGATGGATCGGAGAATAGACGGCGGCGTCGGCTTTGGGAGTTTTTGGCAGAGGACGATAGCCAGGATGGACTTGATCTTTCAGGTTCGGATAGATTTGCATTTTCGGTTGATGATGCGCTTAGTGTAAATAGTGCAGGTTCAGTAGCTGGTAGAAGGTGGCTGTTATTGTCCAAGTTAAAACAAGGGTTGTCAAAGCATAAGGAGGGTCATGTTAAGACTTTGTTCCCGTGGAAGTATGGTTTGGAAGATAAAGAGAAGGTTGAGGCTGAGAACAGGGTAGAGGAGACCTCTTATAAAAGTGGTAAGAGGAGAAAGGAAGGTTTGATTGATCACGAGTTGGTTTTGGGGGCAGTATCACGGGCTCTTGAGATAACTGAATTAGCATATTTGGATATGACGGATAAGTTGCTCGATACGAATCCAGAGCTTGCTTTGATGGGTTCTTGCTTGCTGGTTGTGTTAATGAGGGATGAAGATGTGTATGTAATGAATGTGGGTGACAGCCGTGCCATTGTTGCGCAGTACGAGGAACAAGAAGTTGGCCCAAGTGAAGACTTGAAAGAGGAGAGTGACAAAAGGACGTGCATGGAGGGCATAATTGAGGAGTCTACAGCTCCGAGTGAAGGGAAAACAATTCAAGGGAACCAACCTTCGGCTCAGAAAACGAGATTAACTGCGTTGCAGCTGTCCACCGATCATAGCACGAGCATTGAAGAAGTAAGATTGATTATTTTCATTTTTGTCCATCATTCCTCAAATTCCTGCCTGATATTTAGTTTGATTTGTGTGTTCTGTTAATAACCTTCTGAATCCAAAACTGCAATATTAGCATTAAACAAATCTATTGACACTCTTTTGCATTTAGATATTTCATGTAACTTAATTTTTGGTGGCCACCTTTTTGCTTGTGCCTATGTTTTTGTTTGACATTTTTTTTTTGTAATGTTCCATTCTTCTTCATGGAAGTAGTTTTTCCATTTAAAAGAGGTATCATATGTTAGTAAAGGGGGAACTCGGAAAATCAGCATTAAAGCAGGACTACCACAACTCTTTTGCATTTAGATATATCATTTATTAGAAAAGTAGAGAATGGAAGTTGTTATAAATACTAATATTTTCCCAGTTCCCAAGACATTAGTTTATGTTGCCCCTCCCCTCTCCCCTCTCCTACCAGTGGATGATGTGCAAGAGGTCGGATCAGTTTAAAGATAAACAATTAACTGTTGTTTGACCAAAAAAGGAAATCTTAACCATCGTCTAGTAGCATTTGAAACTTGCCCATATTTCTTGCAACACTGATTAATATGAACTAACATTATCTGCCTTTTAAATAACTTCTGCTGATGGCTCTTAGCTGGAAATGGATCTTCTTTCCCAAATTTCATTTTTTGTCATCTGAAGTGCTTGATGGTCTTGGATGATCTAAGAAGATCTGTTTGTTGTCTTTCAAATTTGTTATGCTTGGTTGCATATGTACGTATGATCTTTTGCTGTCTGATTTATCTCATTATGGCTTTTGTTGTCAAAGGAAAAGAATACTGTGCCTTGCAGACATGATACATTTATGGTCATTTGATGTTCAGATATCAGATTTCAGTTTTATTATACTAACTTCTGTTTTCATGATTTGAAGATCAAGCATTTGCATGTTCTTTGCACCCGAATAACAATTTTGGTCCTGCCTTGTACAGGAAGTAAGAAGAATAAAGAATGAGCACCCTGATGACAAACAATGCATTGTCAATGATAGAGTGAAGGGCCGTCTAAAGGTCACGAGGGCATTTGGTGCAGGATTTTTGAAACAGGTTAGTAGTTGGTAAACTTGCTCATTTTTGCTTTCTAGAACTTCCTTTGCTGCTTGATTTAATTCTTTCAAATTGGATCAAATCTTTTGATTGCTATTTCTTTTCTTCTGCATGTTGACAAGTTTGAACTTCAAGAGCACATGACAAACATAACCGTTGTTTGCTCTTTTTATTTTTTTCCTTTTCTTTTTTAAAAAATTATTTACAAGAGAAATAGATGTCACGTTATCATGTATTCTGCTTTTAAAATATGAGCTACTTCGGTCACTTACAGATAAGAATGACCAAATTTAGAAAGTTCATTTTATTCATGGCTGTGGGAGCAATTATTTATATAGTTATGATTATTAATTAACGTTTGGAAGGCTTTTCTGTGTTAGTTTCTCTTTGGGAGGGGGTTTCCTCTACCCTGCCCTTATGTTGTCCTCTTTTGTGGCTTTAATATACTTCTTATCAGTTTCTTATAAAAAAAATAGTATTAGTATAGTTATTGATCTGTGAATAGAAAGTACCTATAAGAGTTTGGATGATTGGAAGTAATTTACATGGGGGCTCGGATCCCAAGTTACTGAGGATGAGGATACTTGTGTTATTGATAAATTTTCTCCATCTCATTATGCAAATGCATTTTTGGAATATAGAGGGACATGATGGGTCAACTATCTTTAGTGTCTTCTTGTTCTAGATGAAAGATGAAGTTGGGATAGAATGCTTTTGTCAAGTAGGAGTACCTATATTTCATATTGAACCTTTATTATCATTGCAAATGGACAAACTAAATGTTTTTCTTCTGATCTATTAAGTGAAAATGATACAACCTTGCGATCTCTTTCCTGTATAGCGCTGCCAGTTTATACTCATAGTCATAGTGATATTCTTGTACCTTTAGGTACTTTATAGTGTATATCCTCTCACTGAAAACTAAATAAACAATAATGACTGTTAATTTTCTGATTTCATGCACCATCAATATTATTGTTTACTTTGCTTCATGCATTTGTCCCTTTATATTTCATGAGTGTGGATTTCTGGATTGAAAACGGACAACTGACATGACTAGAATAGTCAACTTGTGTTTTTGCAGTTCTTCAAATTTATTTTATATTGGCGTGTGGTCATGTTGCATACTTCTATGCATGAGTGGTAGATTTTCTAAAAGCTCTGGCAAACTTGTCTGTCGTATTCTTATCTCGATGAGCTTCCTTGTTTTACAGAAATCATTTTTGTTTGAGTTATCTCATGGTAATATGTCTTTGGGTGGCAGTCCATGCATAATTTTACATGTTACATGATGGGATTGCTTCGACCAACTACACATTAAGATGGTTTTTTTCTTTTCTTTTCCGAGTTCGCTCAAGTATTATTAAATATCATATCCAATTGTTTTTTTACTTACAAGGTGGTGTTGCTGTTTTCTTTTCTGCAGCCAAAGTTGAATGATGCATTACTGGAAATGTTTCGGAATGAGTATATTGGCACCGCACCATATTTATCATGCTCGCCTTCTCTTCGTCACCATAGACTCTGCACCACAGATCAATTCATAGTGCTCTCATCTGATGGTTTGTATCAATATCTAACCAATGAAGAAGTGGTTTCTTATGTTGAGAATTTTATGGAGAAGTTTCCGGATGGAGACCCTGCACAGCACTTGATTGAGGAGCTTCTTTGCCGTGCAGCCAGAAAAGCAGGTAACTGCTATATCTTGTGCTATTTCAAATTTTGGTTCTCTTTTTTCCATTAATAACTCGAGCATGTTACTATATATTTTTTTTCTTTTTACATTTGATCTGGATTTGGTGTTATAATAATTGTGCAAACAAGGATACAAGCCACAGCATAAAATATACTTTGTTTTCCCTTGGAGTTATTCACTGTTCTAATTACCTTCTTCCAAGAACCATTGCCTTAGGATATGTGTTCTAGTGTACCTGCTATGATCATTAGAGATTTATTCTTAATACTTTCAGTATATATAATGAATTCACGATTCTAGCGTCGATAGCTTGAACTAAATCTCCTAAAGCTGGATGTGAAATAATATCCTTTGCACCTAGTCTTCTAGTACTGGGTCTGGAATAGTTTACTTGGGCACTTGGTGTCTGTTTGGGACTGCTTTGTGACACTTTTTTAGTGAAAATACTTTTCCAAATTACATATGAAAACAAAAACTAGATTAAATGCTTCATTCCCAAACAGTGGATTTGAAGTATTTTTTGAAACACACTTTTATGTATGTAGTTGAATTCCACGAAGAATTTGAAGGGAGGGTTGGTTAAAAGCCACATTTAGATATGAAAAGGGTATAAAACACAGTCTCCATATTGTAGGCTTCTGAGACATTCTTGACAATCTCATCCTTTTTCCGGGTAACCGGGTTGATTCAGTTGAAACTATTTTTATATCGTTATTTGAGCTGAAAGTTGTGTTGTGATATTGGTTTATTTCCATGTCGCCTTAGATTTCTTTTCCAAGGTTGATTTCCATTCAGGATCAGTCTCAATGTTTATGCTTTGCAGGAATGGATTTTCATGAATTGTTGGACATCCCACAGGGGGATCGCAGAAAGTATCATGATGATGTTACTGTTATGGTCATTTCACTTGAAGGAAGAATCTGGAAATCCTCAGGAAAATATCTTTGAACTCTCATAAATCTTTGATCAAATGAAACGACATTCGAGCATTCCACCCAAATGGCGCTCCTCGAGTGGTATGTCCTTGCATCCGAACCATATTTCATGGTTCGCCTTAGGTTTTTTCACATTTCAAGGAGCAAGCCAGCTTGAAGAAAGTGGGTGAACTCGGGCGATATCGACGAAAGGCTACTGTTGGATGGATGGATGGATGGATGGATGTTCCCAAAGGTGCAAATCTATGCCATAATTTGGTTGGGGGATGAACAGCAGGCAATTGGCAAATGGGGTTTTTGGTATATGCATTCTAGAAAAAGGAAAAAAAAAAAAGAAAATTTTTAACTTCTCTTTTATTTTCTATTTGTTTTCTGTTGTTTCCTTCCTCTTTAAGACACCTTCTCTAAGGAAAGAGGACAGAATTTTTTCTCCATTTTAGGGCCCAAAAAAAGGAGAAAAAAAAAAAAGAAAGAAAAGAAAGAAATGTGCTTGTAAATTGGTGGGGGTATAATTTTACTTGCTGAAAAATTGAGCAGTCCCTTGTACGGTGGATTCCACCACTGCGGATTATAGAGTTGGAAATTTTATCCTTCTACAAGTTTTCTCTGTTTCTCTCTGAAATTATTACCTTTTCTTACCAGAAAAATTCAAGCAGAAGAAAGAACTCTGTTCTATTCTTTTGAAAAGTACAATATTTTTGCCTTAACTCCTACAATGTAGGGATAACAGGTGCCTAAAAGAACTAAATCCATGGCTGGTTAAGGTGTGGCAGCCACAGATGGTACTCTTGAATGCACCCATGAAACCAAATCCTCCCGTGTGGCAACGAACCAACCGGCTCGGTCTTCTCGTAGCCGAAATGGAGCAGCGAGTTTCTCTACATGAGAAGCAAATGAATTGGCCAGCCCTTGGGAAAACCTGTGAGTTCCTGCACCAGTTTGAGCTGATAACAACTGTGGTAATGCTTCCTCTCGTTGTACAATCTTTGAAAGAGTTGTCATCCATTCTTCGAGTGCAGTCTGAGCAGCGCCTACTGATAGAGATCGAACGTCCAGACACCATTCAGATTCGGTTTTGTTGTGGAGCCCTGGGTATAATCCATATAGACTTCCTAAATAGAGTAGTTCGTGAGCTCTCTCGCGGAGATTTTGGTTTCGACATATATCGATCAGGCAATTACAAAAAGGTCGTCGAGCTTCAGTGGCAGTCTCGCCGAGAATTTTTCTAAATTCTTCTTTGACAACTTCAAAGGTAATGACATTTTGTTGCAGAAGATTTATGAAGGCGACTAAGTTTGGGTTAGCTTGCTGCAAACAAGTGAATACCTTGTTGATATCTTCACTATTGTCACACAAGGACACAACAGATAGCAAGCAACCACAAAGTCTGTCATCTGGCTTGATTCCTTTCTGTACCGAAACATCGAAAACTCGAACTAGATCATCTATCCTCCGAGCTTTCCCCAAGCACTGAATCAAACAAGTGCAACCCATCACATTGATCTCAACACCTAACTCAAGCATTTCTTCAAACAACTCCATGGATCTCTTCACATTGCCTCCGCTGCCATGTATATTCAACATCGCGGTGTAGCTCCAACTATCCGGCCTAGAATTCTCCGACTTCTTCATCTCTTCAAAGAGTTTCTCAGCTTCCTCCTCCAAACCAAGATCCGCACACATATTCAACAGCGTATTGTACAAAATGAAGTCCATTGGCCACCCATTCGACCTCATCCGCTCCCACAAGTATAACGCATCCCGAGCCCACCTCGCTTTCCCATAAATCTTAACAAGAGCAGTCAACGTCTTCTCATTCGGCGTTATCCCCGACTCAATCATTTCGTCAAACAAGCTTCTCGCGAAACCAGGCTTCCCAGCCTTCCCCATCGCATCCAACAAAGTGTTGTACACCACAAGATTAGGCTGCACCTCAATCGACTTCATTTCTTGCAAAACATACATAATCCCATCATAATCCCCTGCCTCCCCAAACATCTTCCCCAACACAGAGAATGTAACAGGATCAGGCTTCCAACCACTGGCCCTCCCTCTCTCATACAAACTAAGAACCTCCTCAACCTTCCCCAAATTTGCATAAACATCTAAAATAGCAGAGTAAGTAACCTCATCAGGCATCAAACCAGTTTTATACATCCTCTCAAACCACTCCATTGCCTTATCAAATCTACTGCACTTCTTAGCACAAGTGATAATAGTAGAGTAAGTAATGTTATCAAGCTCAATCCCACTACTGATCATCTCATTAGCAAGATCCTCAATAACCTGAAATTGCCTCCCGTACCTCAAAGACTTCATAGCCACATTGTAGAAGATGGTCTCCATAGGAAACAGATTCTGGGACTTGATCCAGTTGAAGAACATTTGGGTTTTCTGCCATGGCTTCAGGCTATTGAGGATCAGAAGGGCGTTCTCTTTAGTGGGTGGATGGGGGATTTCCTCAAGAGCCGCCACGAAAGCACTTTCAGAGGAATCGCAGGCATTGAGCTTCTGGGCAAAGCTCTTGAGCTCGCGCATTTTGGGATTGTAGGAGTAAGAAGAACGTTTTTGCCTCTGGAGGGAGAGAACGGAGCGCTTGGGCTTGGTGGGGTTCACCCAGGTGGACTTGGGCTTCGATAAGAGATGGGACTCGTCGTCTTTGGGGGAGGTGGAGAGAGTGGTTGTGGAGAGGTTTTTGAGCTGGTCGGAGAGAGATGGGTTCTTGTGGTTTGATTGTGAAGAAGTTTGAGGAGATTTTCGAGGGGATTTGGAGGAGCTACAGAGGACCGTCAATCGCTTGGTAAAATTCTTCCGCCGGAGAGGGGAAGTGAAGAACATGGGCGAGGGTTTGTCGGAGGAATGGGCGATGAATTGGACATCGAGAGGTGTGGAGAAAGAAGAAGCCGCCATGGGAGAGCACTGAGTTTTTTGGAGGAAGAAATTTCTGAAAGCATAAATGCGCGCTGAAGAGCAGATGGCGCTGCCTTATCTCATTCCCAATGCAAATATCAAGGGGAGGAGGGGGAGGGAAAATTTCAGAGTATGGAAGCTAACCTTTTTTTTTCCCTCGAGCTACGTGGGAATTTGAACTTCTAACTTTTTATCAATATATACGAAGCTGCATTAAAGTTGGCGGTTGTTTATATATATATTTTTTTGTTAACTACGTCAGCATCAATTAAAAATGATATAGGAACAAGAGGAATTGATATTCGAGTAGTGCTTAAAATTATTTCGGAGGGGTGAGTATGAAAAAATTTCTAATACTATAGGAGTACTTCTCTTTAGCTATGATTTTTTTTTTCTTTCATGAATAATTTTTTAATATTGTTGGACTCTCTCGTATTTTTAAAATGATGTTGATGCGGTTTACCATCAATGAGAGTAGTATCAGATAGCCTTCATGGGTGAGAGCTTGGAGAAATTGTTCTAGTTAAGTTGTGAAATGTTGGTTTCAAAATATGTAGTTTGTAAATATAATTTGTGATTATTTCATTTTAAACTATCACAGATATTATAAAATACTTCATTGTATTTATAACTAAGTTACTTTCAAATTCATGAACATGGAGAGAATCTAATGGAGGAATTTGATTTTGAATGTTATTGTTTATAGAATAGGTGGTTTTGTGTCATTAAATTTGTGTGGAGATGATTTGATATGAGAATGATGATAAATTGATAGGAATAAAACTTGTATAAATTAGTTCAAAATAAGTTGTACGCATTTGTGAAGATAGGATTGTGAATTGAGAGTCTATGGAATGACAATTAAGAGTGAGTATAGTGCTTTGATTCAAAGCAAAAAAAAAAGAAAAAGTTACTTGTGATAAACATAAGTCGTTTTGTGTATGTATAGTCGAGATCGTTGGCTAGAGGTAGGGGTGTGTTGTCATGTTAGTGTGACGCTGATTAAGGTGAGACAGTGAGGCTATCCATGGTTGGATAGAGGTATGTTTTTGAATAACTCATTTGTTTGGTTTCGTACTTGATGATGAGGGTGTCTGAATCGAGCAAATGGGTGAGACTTTGTCTATATAATTTACTTCTTGTCGTTGTACGGCTCGATCAAACAAGAGCAATGTAAGAGTACTTCAAACATTTCTAAAGCTCATGACCAACGTTTTAAACCTTTTAAAATTTGTAAGCATGTTTAAAAATAGTCTTAAAGACGCCTTTTTAGGAGAAAAAACACACTCTTAACAAATTGATGAGATTCCTGTCAATAATATATCAATGATATCATTGGTTTTTCGAGACTATTTAAAATAAATTATATAGTATTTATTTTTGTAAACGATGAATCAACCTACTATATTCAATTAGTTCTTTGGTGAATAAAAGGGGAAATAAAGTTTTTTAAACGCAAAGTTTTACATTTATTTAATATTTAACAATATATTAATATGAGAAAAATTCCCAACAAAGGTCCATAGCTCAGTGGTAGAGCATTTGAGCTCATATCAAGAAGTCATTGGTTCAAATCCGGTTGGGCCCTCTATTCAATATATTTTCAAATTTTAATATGAATATGAATTTTTAATTATTTATCATTAATTATTTGAAAAATGTTAAAACAAATTTTATATACAATGGAAATTCTTTAATACAAATTTATAGCTATATTTTAAAAGATTTAATGAGTATATCATGTTAAAATTTTAATTTAAAATTAAATAAAAATAAATTTTAAAAAGTACAAAGATTAAAATAAATGTTTAGAAATTACATGAACTAAAATGAACAATTTTTTTTTCGACATGTGAGGATGAAGATCAAAATAAATGAAAGTGAGACTCAAATAGTATTTAAATATTTAAATATTTTTATAATTTCTTTTCACCTTTAAAAAAAGGAAAAAAGGAAAAAGGGTTTAATACTAAGATATTCTTTTATGTTTCATTGTTCAATGAGTTTGAAATTCAATAATGGTATTTTCACATCAGTTGGACTTTTTATTCAAAGTGTTAGATTTTCAAACTCATTAATTAATAGCATAATGGAAATTGGAAAAGAGATTGATATTCATGTGGTTATAGTTTAATCAAATATTTTCTTTTTTTAATTAATATTTATAGCTTCAATAAAATTAAGTGAAAAACATATTCTAGAGATTTTGTTGAATCAAGACTAAGGGAACTAGATTTATTTTATTTATTATTATTTCTATTTATTTATTTATTTTTGTTGAGGAGGTTTCTATTTCAAATGCATTAATATCTATCAGATTGAAATATGGAGTAATATATAAAAATATTAGAAAAAACTTTTTTATAAAATAACTTTTTGCTTTGATTCTTAAATGTTAACAACTATGAAAAAGTGACTTGTAATGATGAGGTTAACTTAAGCTTTTTGAGTTTTTTTTTTCTTTTTCCTATTAATTTTTGTCTCTATTTTAAAATATTCGTTTTATTTTTAGCCTTGAACTTTTGGTCTCCAAATTTTCATCGGGTCTATTTTAGAGTAAGTTTGGATTATTTTCCTCATCAACTTTGGAGGGCCAAAAGTATTTTTTTTTTTAATCTATAGTATTTAGTAACAAATAAAAATCACGATTTTGACATAGTTATTATAACTTTTACTCAATCTAAAATCACTCATTTTAAAATATAATGTTTGATAAGAATTCAAAATTGATTTTGGAAAAATCTAATTTTAGTTATTCAAATTAAGGGATTCTCTAAGTAATTTTTGACCAAAAAAAAAGGAAAAAAAATAAAAGTAGTTATTGTTTTAATTTTCAAAATTGTCTCACCATTTGAGATTTTTTCTCTTTTCTAAAAAACCTTTTCTCTTTTCTAAAAATTTTTACTCTCTAACTTTATTTACCTTTTATTTTGTTTATTAACTCTAATTTTTTTCTCTAAAACTTTTGTAATCTCTCTAAACTTTTAGTTCACATATCTTTATTTTTTTTGTCTAAAATTTTTACCTCTCACCCTCTAAAATTTCTCTTTCTAAGATTTTGTTTTCTTTCTAAAAATTTTGTCAAATTCTCTGACTTTTAATATTAATAATTTAAAATCGTTTTCAATCATATAAAAATCACTTGAAAAAGTACGTAATCAAACGTTAAAATGATTATGTAAAAATCACTTTCACAAAATCAGTTATCATTAAATTTCTTGTGCTCGAAATCACTAATTCTAAAATCATTCTCAAAGAGATTCTAGATTAGGGTATGTTTGGAAATGATTTTAGTATAGTAAAAATTACTTACTGTTAATGAAAACAATTTTATACGAAGAAGGTATATCAAACTTACTGTTAATTTATTTTAGTCTATAACTTATCAAAGGGTCCATAGCTTAGTGGTAGAGCATTTGACTGCAGACCTGACAAAAAGTTTGGTTTCTTTTTTTTTTTCACACCTCTAACTACGGCTCTACTGTCAACAGAGTCTCTACTGTCAACAGAGTCAGAAGCCATATAGCCCTATGAAAGACAAGTTTCAATGGAACTACCCTACTTCCTTGATATGTTTACAAACTACAATGATTTGCCTCATAGCTTATTAAAATTTGAGTATTATTTCTTTCGAAATAAAGAATCCAAAGAACAAGGGTAGAATATATGAATATGTTACCTATTCACACCACCATCCAATGAAGAACACCTTAGGCAGCTACTTGGTTGCCCCTCTTTCAATACAAGCTCGCAATTTGAGGGCTGCAAAAGACCTGCACTTCAGCAACAACAGCTCTGCCTTCATCTCCAAAAATGGACTCCTTCCCATCTTTTCTCTTGGCATACGACAGCCCGAGCCGGGACTTGGCTTGCCTCAAGTCCCCCACGCCCGAGTTCGTGTCGGGCCCAGCAAAGCCACCCATGACAGGAGCCAGAGGGGGCCAATCAGTAGCCCGTCTGCTCCGAACTGCGGCCCGCCCCTTGCGTAGTCGAACAGAGCTGCACCGCTGCCCCCAACCTTGGGCAAGATGATGGGGTCAGCTGCCTCATTGTCTAATTCCCAATAGAAGAGGAATGCATCAAATGTGTCATAGTAGTCATCTGTGCTTCTGTAGCCCTCAGGGTTGAATGCACCAAACTTGAAACTTTTGTCTGTGTACCCAATTATGACACATGGTCCTTTGAAATCGCAACACGTGTGGAAATCGGTCGCGCTGAATCCGTCTGATGTGGCCTTATAGCAGCATTTGAGTTCCCTACCTAGACAATATATTGAATAGATGACTTTCTTCCAAAATACAGTACTACAGCCAACAGCCAAGATTAATACAATGTAGTATTAACTTTGTTATTCAAACCAAAATGTGCATGACAATGCACCCACAGACCTAGAAAGGAGAATTTTATAAGATGAATTCTGTTCTCTTTTTGTGCAAAATTCAGATGTGGGGACAACTTTTTTATAGGCAAATAGGGGAACGTTTTTTACACTAATTTCAAGTGCAAAATATACTTTATTTCCTAATTAAAGCTCTCGAAAATAGTAAACCAAAACAAACTAATTATTTTTTAAAAAATTTTTCAGAATCAAATTTGTGTAGCCTACGCTAGTGATATATATAAGTGGGTGCTCGTTGCCTAGGCTGAGTAACACTGTGACCAACACACAGGGCTCGTAACTGAGACCTCAGGGTAGGTGGTACCAAGGCCTCAACTACTTGCGAAAACGAAATAATTAGTTTGTTTCTCTCAAACAAAACATATAAAATCAGGGCTAAAAAATGACTGTTACTTTGATTTCTTAGTTTCAGAAACTAAAACCTTGATGGGTTAGATCAATAAGGACATACTAACTACTACAAATACATTCTTCTACTACACATTTCCAAAAAAAAAATTATTCAGAAAGTAAGAAAAAGCAGCTTGAATCAATAATGGCTTGTTTGCAAGTGATTTTGTAACTTTTTCCCTTGCCAAAATCACTTCTATCAATGATGCAGAGGTGATTCTTGGTCAATTCACTCAAGAAATAACCACTATTTGGAGTAACTTTGAGTAATCTGAGTGTTCCAAAATCACCTTTTCAATCAACCATTAAACATTCAAAATCACTTTCGAAAGTCTAGAACCAAACAATGATTATCATTAAACATTTCTTTACAAAATGATTGAACTAGAATCACTCTCAAACATGCCCGGCCAGAACAAACACCATTTCTGAGCAGATTATGCAAAAGGGAAACAAAAACTCTAAGCACAGAATTCATTGAAAAACACCTAAAACACTGATTCCAAAAAGTGGAAAGAAAAGGGAAAAAAACCTTTCAAGAATGTTTTGTCGACGAGAGAAGGAGGGAATGGAAGATCGATTTGGTGGTACTTGATGTTGGGTTTGTCTTCCTTTTTGCTGCCATTGCCGAAGCTCCAATTCCAGCCAAATGAACTGGTGGGTATCGTCTTCAACCTGTAAAATAAACTGTTGAAGATACAGGAAGCCATTGATTCACATATTCATTTGCTTCAAAATCCGAAAATGGGGTTCACAAGAAACAGTACCTTATCCGGGAAATTTTTCTGAGAACCTAAACTTGTATTTAAATAATTAAAGCTCGCTTGAGATTTCAAAAATGGGTCCATAGCTCAGTGGTAGAGCATTTGACTGCAGATCAAGAGGTCACCGGTTCGAACCCGGTTGGGCCCTCTAATGTCTATTTTTTTTAACTTTTTTTTTGGGTGCATCTTATAAATTATAATAATATTTATCAAGTTACTTTAATTAAAGATGTTTCATTTCTATTTTACTTTTTAGCTAGTAGTTTTAACAATAAAAAGTATCTCTTTATTTATTTTTCTCTCCCTTTTACAAGGATAAAAATATAAATTTTGTTGAAATATGGATGAGAGATATTGAATTAGAAATAAGCAAATAGGTGGTAGCAACTTTCTATAGACTTGTAATTAAATAAAGACTCTAAACTTCAAGCTCCCTCTTATCTTCTTTTTTAGAACCGTTGAAGTCCTTGAAAGGACTTCAACATAATATCTTCCTTGAGGATATTTCACGAGATTAGAACGGACAATGTTTGTGCTAGATGTAGCGGTTAAATAAGTATTGAATTAGAAATTTTGTTTGTAGCAGTTCCGAAAGTGTGAACTCATTCAAATAATTAAACTTTATTGAAAAACAAAATTTGTTATATCCACTTTAAATCTTGAGTTTTTGAAATAAATATCATCTCTAAAGTTCCACTGGCAATTTCTTAATTTCTTAATCTCTTGATTTCATTTGTAATGTTCCGAACCCAAGATTAGGGTTATTGGAATAAGGATTCAAAATTCAGGTTCAACAAGAGACATTGTCATACAGCATGGAAGCAATTGAAGAGTATTGAAAAAAGTTACCATGAAACTGATTCAGGCCATTTCTTTTTGTCAAAGCAAGAGATCTAGATTTGGAAATGTTGCCTTAGACAACTTTCAGTTTATTTATTTACACTGATAAACCATTATGATATACCAGAAGCATATTCATATTCAAGTACATGTATTCAAAAGCATCACCAAGCAGTGAAAATGCAGTGTCTTAAACACAGAAAAAAAGTTACAGTTTGGGACATAGTACACTCTTTTAAACTCATACTATTGATTACAAACTCGCACCGAAAACTCGGATTCGCTGTTCTATGGGAACCCGGCAGCACGGGCATGTTGCTTTACCCTTTTTGCCATAGTTATCACTGCAACTCGCACACAGAACTTGGTGAGCACAAGGCAGGAATACGATAGAGACCTCACCTCTCATGCATATCATGCATTCGTGGTCCTGGTTGATCTCTCTCTCTGAAGAATCCTCGTAACTATCTAATTCCCGAAGCATTTTTGCTATCGTTTCTCCCGGTTTTACACCTTCGGAGTTCCCTTTTGGAGTGTTATTAGATGGGTGGTGCAATTCGGTGGATTGTGCAGATGCTTTTAGACGTGAAAGATCTTGTTCGAGCCTTTGGAGATCGTCCTTGTGGCGCTGGAAATCTATCTCTATCTTAAGGCGCAGCGCCTCGAGCCTTCTTTTACTACTTGCTTCTGCTGCTTCCTTGCTACGTCTTTCGTCTTCCACTTGCGCCATGGCTGCCTCTTTAGCATTCACCTCCTGCCTCCACCTCACCTGTAATACATCATTTGCACGGTAAACGGCAATGAAGGCGAGCTACATGTTATTCCATACCCAAGAAAACAATCACTGATAAATAACAGGGTGGCATTTGTTAATTGCTAAAACATAATTGAAAAGGCATTGTTGCAAGATCAAGGTGTTTGATTGAACAAGAGAACCAGGACAAATTGACAGCTCGACCAACTTATACAAGCATAGCAATCACCAAGATAACTAACCTGAAAAACCACACGGTTGCAGTGAAAGGCAGGCATATCGGTGTCTAGAACATGATACAATTCAATTATCTTAATAATAACTTCCATAAATTCTAAGTCGGGCAATGATTTGATTGAACATTTAAAAGAAAGAAAATAGTAATCTGCAATCAAAATTACTATCTAATTTGTGCATACAATATAAGATCAAACGAAATGCAGATTTTGACACTTTTAAGCGAAAAGCAACATGGAAAACTTTGGCATGAAACCAAAGCGCAGGTACCATCACAGAAGCATAATCATTAATCACTATGTTTTCATGAGAGTCCAAAAATCGCTGCAATTGAAAAATTGTACTAAAAAGTTTCAAACTGCAGTTTCTACCTTTAATGAAACATTGTTACGTGTGAAAAAACAGGAAAAAGGAATAGCCTCATAACTATAATGATTTTGAATCATAGCCATCAATGTTCTATCATCAATCTCATACAACTCAAGCAGCAAAGCCACTAGAACGTCTTGGTTTATATGCTGATGCAAACCATGGGTTATGTTACTATTTTCTGGCAATATCAAACCTACAGTTCTCAATCCTGTTGGTGGGAGAGAAATATGAAAACGATGGTCAGCAAAAATGTAAATCATCAAAGGCTTAGAGTGGTACATTGGGCCGCCTAGTCATATACTAAATGAAGCTGACAGCTGAGTTACCCTTGCTGCTACCTGTGTTGCTTCATTGTATTAATAGTGTAAATTGAAAATTACCTCAGAAGTTGTGGGCAGATAAAACTGTTTAACTTAGCTTTCTTAATTGAATGTGCGGTTTAAATTGAGAATCAAACAATGGGTATGGCCTAGAAAGTAGGGATTGTATATAGAAAAAGTGGAAAGTTGATGACTTTTTTACCTCAGCTTCCTTTTGAGCTAACTTGATCCGCTCCAATTCATCTTGCAACTCTGATATTTTATCCTTCTCTTCTGCAATCAGCTCCTGTAATTTAGTTTTTTGCTTTTCCCAGGCCAGTAGTCTCTTTAGGCATTTTTTTTCCCTCTTCGCAACCTCCAAACAAGTTGTGACAGACTCTGAGGCACTTAACTTCAAAGCTTCCATCTCTGCTCTAATTTCTGCATTTTCTGTCTCAAGTCGTCGCACTGCTGCATTTGCACGGTCCACTTGACCACTAGCTTTTCTCAAGGCATTCTCCATCTCGGATAATCGTTTCATTGTTGTGTCCTCTAAAGTTTGTTTGCCTTTTTTCAGGCGTTGGGTCTCTTCCCTTTCCATCCTCAACATTTTAAGCTCTGTGAGATCATGGCTTAGTTTCCTTGCAGCTTGCATTGCCTTTTGATGCGCCCACTCTTTCCGCTCCTTTACTTGTCTCTCAAGCTCTTTAATCTGATGCAGGAGATTTACAATAACTTCATCCTTTTGATCTTCTGCCACAAAATCCAAATTCTCATAAAGTTTCAAGTCACGAAATTTACTCAACATTGAATTAACAGCATCTTGGTTCCTTGAAATCTGAGACTCCTCACTTTTCTCCATTGGAACTGCAGCTGCACCTTGTACGACAGGGGAACTTTCACTTGGTAATGCATTTGCACTAGCTTGATACTGAGCCTGAAGATGCTTCGAGTTTGCTCGAAAACCAGCAGCAAATGCAGTCACATTCCTCTTCAACAACGACTTCATTGAAGGAGAAAGATTAAACCTCTTTGGACACTCAATATCTCTATAGAAATGCATATCAGGAGGAAATGACAGAAACCCATTAAGAGAAAATTCTGGACTCCCACCATTCCCAAAACCTGAACCACCATGAAATTTACAAAGGGATGGTGCTAGAAATCCCACTGGTTGGCTATTACCATTCTCAACATTGGCACCAGATGCCGACCCAAACCCATTAACATTACTTGGTAGCGAAGGAAGCACCGGAATTTCCATGGCACTTGCCCGACCCACATGAAGATCACTCATAAGCAGACACCACATAGCATCTCCTTTAGTCAAATTAGGTCTAACTTGTTGCAACAAACACACCATACCGGCCAACGAGTACTCCTGCAATTGCCTCAAATCAGAGAACACAGGCTCAGGATCATCCGCACTCAAATTACCATCACCATCACCATCATCAGAAACGCCAGAAGCTCCAACAGCTTCTCTGTTGGCATTCTCACATGTACCGTTCAGAAACGACAGCGAATTATGCAGTACATTCGTTAGAACGTCCATGGTACCATAGCAATGGCCATTCTGCAAAATCGCTCTCATCGCAACATCCTCATCGTAACCCAACGCAAGAAGCTTAGACATAGCTTCAGTATAAACAAATTGTAAATTCTTCATCAAAATCTCCTCCAATTGCTCCTCCGTACAGTAACCCCATCCACTATCCTCCGAGTTGGAAGCGGGATTAGAGCTCGAGGTAACAGTGTTGGAATCGCCGAGCCCTATATGGTAATCCAACGGCTTGGAAATCGATTCGGGCACCGATTTGTGGAGTGAAGCTCGTTCTTGGTGACAACACGGATCGAATTCGGCTTTCACCGATCGAGGCCTACGATTCGTACGAACATGCTTCTCCCTTACGGTGCAACCCATTGGATTTCGAATGAAAATACAGATAAAAACAAACGGAAATCTCAAGAAAAGATTGAAAGTTCGTGGAGATTTACGGAAACCGACGGGATTCGAATCAAAACTTAAACGAAATTAACAAAATTATTGATCAATAACCAGAGAAACTCACTGGGTTTGGAGAAGATCGGCGATTGGTAATGGTGTGAGTTTGCTGAAATTGAAAAGAGAAACAGTGAGAGATTGAGAGAGGTATATATATGGAGATGATGAAGAGAGGAAGAGGAACAAGGACATGCAGAACAGCTTATTCCGAGTCGGCGTCCACTATTCCCGTGTCCAAACAAGGGGTGACCCAGACCAATTTCGGGTCCCACAAAATTAGTTTTAAGACAACTTTGAGAACTTTTTGAGGGTAAAAATAAAATGACAAATTTGGTCAAGCATAACTTTAATTTAATCATTCGCGAATTTAATTTTGGTTTAATGTCCAACTTTTAAAAGTTTTAATTCAATCTTTTATGATTAATTCAAACCTTTTTTTTTCTTAGATAAATGATTAAGTCAAATTTAAATCCAAGATTTTAAATGTAGATGTCGATAAGAAATGTCGAGATCTCAATTTCATTGAAATATCGATAAAATGTCGATGGATATTTCTGTAAAAATTATAGAAATTAAAAAATCGTAATAAATATTTAAATTAACGAATTAACATTTTCATATTTCTAAATAAGTTAAAAAATAATTAATATTGATATTATATATATATTAGTGACATTTTGTTGATATTCTTCATATTTTGTCGATTTTTCTTTACTACGATGGAAATGTCAATTTACCTCTCATGTCGATATCGAACTCATGAAAACATGAACATGTCGATGTTCGACATGTTAATGTATATTTACAAGCTGTGTTTAAACCCTAAGTTTATTAGGGCACATGACTGTGCAAAAAATAAGTCAATCATAAGATAAAATTGAAATTTTTTAAAATTTATATAGACTAAATCGAAACTAAGTTCAAACCATAACGAATGATGTTACTTGTTACTTAGTTGGGTGATAATTCGTAGTGGCAATTTAAGGCCGCAGTGGATGAAAATTTTTTCACGTTACAATTTTGAGGGTGGGGAGAGGAATTACCACCCTTGCCCATCTAAAACTATAATATATATTAATTTTTATTATACATATAAAAACTAACAAAAGTAATAATTTGTCTTATTAGTTCAAAGGTACAAGACGAATGAATTCAAAATTATGGCAAAATAACATACACAAAATTATGAATAATAGTCTCAATCAATAGTATTGCAAATAAAAATGGATAAATTACGAAAATATCACTTATATAGATATAATATTAATATTATTTATTTTAGACTTATTTCTCAATTTAAATGTCTTACGATTTTTTTTAATGACTTTTTCAAAAATATCCATCAACATCTATATTTCCATGAAATTTAGACATTGATATTTCTATAGACATCAACATTTAAAACATTGGTCATAACCTTAATATTTTGAATAGTTATGTTTGATTTCAAGTGACTAAGTGTGATCTTGAAGATAATTGAAAGAATTAATATAAGTGCATAGTTGGATTAGTATATTGTGTCTATTTCTTTAACTTCCATCAATAAAAATAAAAACTAAATGGAATAGAATTGACTGAGGCGTAGAGTCATGAAAACATTAATTTCTTCCATATCTTGAACCTTAGCTTTATGGAACAATTTACTATTGTTTAAACATGAAACATTAAAAAATTGAAATCTTAGATAAAAATTTTTATATATGAATCATATGAACTACTTAAATAAGGATGTTTTTATTAATAAAAGATAGACAAAAAGAAGATCTTGGGTATATAAAGTTAGATAGGACATCTCCATAAATATGATGTTTTTCGGGCAATACCAAAGGCTTATGTCAAAAGTGGACAATATCATATTTTGTTATCTTAACCATTGGTAGATATTGCCAAAAGCGAGCATAGCTCAGCAGTGTTTGGCACATACTTCAGACCAAGAGATTGTGAGTTCGAACCCTCATTCCACGTATTATACTAAAAAAAATGGTAGGTATCAAAGTTTTGCCCTTCACCGAGCTATTCGATAAGTGGTATGCTCTAATGATTTGCCACATGTCTTTGAATCGTTGCTATTTGTTATAATATTGAATCAATACTTTAACTAAATACAAGAGTGATATTTCATTTACAATTTTTTTGCTCAATATTAAGTATATACCCATTTCTAAATTCTCACTAATTAGACAAAAGGTAAACCTTTCAAATTTGAAAGAGATAAAAGGTGTTTGTAACCATTTTGGTTTGAAATTAATTACCAAAAACACACATTTTCTATAGGAAAATTTGGCTAAATATACACCAAATAGTTCCAAATCTTCATGGAAATCAAATTTACCTCCCCTGAATAAAAAATTCTAAATTAGTGATTCCATACAAAATTGTTAACAAATAACTGATGTATCATTAAATTATTGTTTTATTAACATATTTGGACGTGTGAACATGATACTCACATGTTAATTTAATTGGTACATCAAACCTAATCCACACCATCAAACGTTCAAAATCCAACTTGCTAACACACTTATATTTGAATAAAAGATCATGGGTTCGAATCTCTGTTCAATTTTAAACAAACATTATGTATATATAATGGGGTAATACTGAAAATTTCTTGAAATAAAAGGGCGTATATGAAAAATTCTGTAAGCTAGAGGATCAAAAGAGGCCCAAATAAACGAGGCCGGCCCAAATAAGCCAGGCCTTAATCGTAAGCCCAACTGGCGAATGCATCGCTCAAAACGACATCGTATAAATCACCTTCGCGTAGCTCCGACTCCTTCTAGTCGTCGTCGTTACTTGGACGGAATCACAGGTTTCTCAGACCAGAAAGCTCCATTTGCTTTGCTTCGTTGACTCTCTCTTTTTATCGAAAGTAAGCACAATTCTACTTTCATGCATCTTTTTTATGTTTCCATTTTATCAGTTCTTTGTTTTCGTAAAGGAATCTTGATCATGGTTACTGCTGAAAGTTGGGTTGAACTGAATTTCTAATTCATTGTGGGGTTTTCTCTTGTATAGCTATTTTTATGGGGTTGGAATTATGAATGATAGATACCAAGTTGTTTTCAGCTTGATGTTATTGGGTTTCTGAAATGAAGCATATTTTGCAAATTAGATGAGGAAAAATCCATTTAAATTTACGATATTTGTGTCCAATATGTTTTCGTCACTTACGACCGGTTTTGATAACGTTGTTGGATAGTAGGCGTAACTTCTAACCTTCTGATCTACTTTCGAAATTGCTTTAGTTGTTATAATCTGAATTTCAAAACTAAAAACAAGTAGTTTCTGTTTTTTACTTTTGAAATTTGGCCAAGATTTCATAAGTATCTTTAAAATGTGGTAAGTTAAGAAGATTGCATAGGTGAGGTATATGTAATTTTTGTAAGCTTAAGTTTACAAAATGGGAAAATGAAAATATAATTGTTGTCAAACGAGACCTTAGGTTTGTGATTTGTGATTTGTGATTTAAAGTCCCATCTATTCTCGTGTCTAGATTTTATCTGTCGAATCAACAAGTACTATGGAAAAAAGTAGAAATCATGTTTCTGACCAAAGTTCAAAGGGGATTGCTAAAAGCACCAAGGATCAGAAACTAAATGTGTATGTGTGGGACATGGATGAGACTATAATCCTGCTCAAGTCTTTGTTGAATGGGACGTATGCTGAGGCTCTTGGTGGTTCAAAGGATGTTAAAAAGGGTAAAGAACTTGGCAAAATGTGGGAGAAGCAGATCCTTGATCTGTGTGACCATCACTTCTTCTATGAACAAGTAAGGTTGAGATTTCACTCCATAATCATGTTCGAACAATTCCATGATATAATGTCAGAATTTAATGTCATTGTCGCCTTTTTATGCAGATAGAAAACTATAATCAGCCCTTTCTTGATGCGGTGAGTGAATATGATGATGGCCGTGATCTTTCTAATTATGATTTTGACCAAGATGGTTTTGGTCCACCATATGATGATGGAAACAAACGGAAACTGGCATTTAGGCAACGTGCTATTGCCAATAAGTACAGAGAGGTATCAGGAAATTATTATGTTTATACTTTCAAGTTCCATGCGTGACTTTATTTGTAGTGCTGTGCCTCACTGCACCAAAAAGAATTCTTTTTCCATACTAGAAAGAGAATGATGTCTAGGATTTGTTCGTTTTTGCTTCCGTAGCTCTTGAGCTATTTCTATAACTTTTTTCTGTTTCTTATTGTTGGGAGCTTTTAGCCTTTTCTGTAGTCTCTGATGTACAAATTCATTTGGGATAGGAGCTGTAGATGTCTTCTGGATGTTCATTTTCATGTATCTGTATACTATGGGAGAAAATTCACTTCTTACTTCTGGGCTAAATGAGTGAATTTAGTCTTAAGCTTTCAACTTCTTGAACCCTAAATTTAAATAAGTGATGAAATTAATACCTCCAATGAGTTAAGTTTCTATCCATTTGAAGATTTGTGACTAGCTATAAGAATTCTTGTGGTGGGAGGGACAAAAGTTTTTTGCGTGAGTGTTCATTCTTCTGATTATATTGAATGTTTTTTAGCTAGATTTGAGCACTTTATTGGTAGGATTTGCCACTTTATTGCTTTGTCTAGACATTTATCCACTCGTTTTTTTTTGGGTATTTTTATGGTTTGGTTTGGATATTGATGTGGCTTGATTTAAAACAAGCACATCCTTTAATACACTACTGTATCATATGGTTATGCAAAACTGAGTGTTGAATTAATCAAGTTGTTGGAAAAAGAAGTATAGAGAGCTAAATCAAACTGATCTTCAACTTTTGGATATTCCATCTGTGAATGTACATCATCCTTTCATTCTTGTGAAAACTTTCTGATGTTCCAGGGCCTGCAGAATATCTTTGATCAACAGAAGATGAAGCTTTGGGAAGAATTATATGAAATGACTGACGTCTATACAGATAGATGGTTCTCCTCAGGTATTTTAATTATTATGATGCCGCTTTGAGCCATTTGTCGCTCTCTTTTGATGATTTGATGTGTGCTATACATCTGCAGAACGATTTTAGTATTTCATTTCCTTTCATGAAGGAGATAGATAATGTCAAGTAAAAGGATTATAATTTTAGTAGACTGCATAATCCTAAATTTTGGCATTCTGCATTGGAAGAAGAGGACTTGGGTTTTTCTCCCTTCTCGTTGGGAGAAGGGATGTCTGGTCCCTTTGTGCCCTAGGTTGTTGTGCCCGATTTGGGGTTTTTTTTAATGAAAGTGTTGCTTTGTTTCTGATAAGAAGAAAGTAATTTAACTCTGTCAATCACCGAGATCAGGAAGTTTTAGTCTGATAGTTGAGGCAATCTTACATAGTAGTTGACATTTGGGTGTAATTATGCCTACTAAACTATCTATCCTTGTAACCTCCATCTTACAGTCAACTAGACGATATGTATATTATGGTGTACTTAATCCTCTCGCTAAAATTTTTGTTGCTTCTCTAGACACTTGTTAATGATTATTCCATTTTATGTTAATCTAGCTCGAGCCTTCTTGGAGGATTGTTTGTTCTCAGATAAACCACCACTTGCCTCTGCTGATGGGACGTGTAACACTGCTTCTAGAAGTTCTCAGCATGTTCATGTCTTGGTGACTTCTGGATCATTGATACCCAGCCTTGTGAAATGCTTACTATTTCGGCTCAATGATCTAATAACACCTGAAAATGGTGAGTCACCACCTCTTCTCTTTTGGTTGTTTTCTTCAGCTATATTTTCAGGGCCAATTTCCAGTCAATTGCCTCTCTCTCTCTCTCCAATTGGTGAACTTGTGTAGAAATTTTCTTAATTTTTAAACTTTGAATCGGTTACTTTCCAGTCTATAGTTCATGGGAAGTGGGAAAACTGCAATGTTTCCAGTGGATCAAGGAGCGTTTCGACAGGCCAAATGTTCGTTTCTGTGTAATAGGCGATGGATCGGAAGAGTGCGAAGCTGCACAGTCCATGAAATGGCCATTTGTTAAGATTGATCTGCAGCCTGGAAGTCCTCACAGGTTTCCTGGTCTGTCTTTGAAAACACTAGGCTATTACTTCTCTGTTATTTATGGTAACTCTGATTCTACAAGCGATGAAGAATAGTTCATTTAATCAGCAACAGTTAAGCAGTAATTTTCCAGGCTTTAATTCAGTAATTTTACGAGTTACAACGGTTAAATATTATGGCTGTCATTTATACTCAAAGATTTGTATGTAATCAAAATTATTAGCTCGCCATAATTAGGCTGTGGTTTTTCTCCATACTGTACTGTACCTGTAATCAGAGAATCCAGTGAAACTCACTGGTTTTTATACTGATTGTATTTATCAACTTTCAGTGGCTGTAATCTCAATTCCGAGAATATGAAACTTGGTCATTTTAAGCTGCTTTTCTCATTTAGGATGAGCACGATTTAAGTTCACAAAGTTCCAAATTTTATTCCAAACATTGTGATCATGATGACTGCTTACATTTGATGGTTTCATTATGGGTCAGACTACTTGTGATTAATTGACTGTATTATCTGCAACTTTTAGAAGTCATTTTGTATAATTGTGGAGTTACACTTCTCTATGCTCTCTTTAAGATTAAAACATCTTAATATTAAGATTGATCGACCTAGTAGGCAATAAGTCACTGTCCTAACTCCTAACCACACTTCAACAAATATGTGGTGAGAAGTCGCAATACATCATCATGATACAACCACTCCAATCTGATATGAAAAACTTTCTTTTTTTTTTTT